CTCCAAGGGCTGCTACGCGGCGGGGGGGCGGGGGCGTGGGGAGGAGAGGGGGACCTGGGACACACGCTCACTCCCTGCTCCGATCTTGCTACCTGAGAGCGCCTTCAGTTTTCCAGGTTCCCCGGGCGCCCTCCGGACGAGCACAGGTTATTAAAGGCCGGCTCCTTTCCCCCTGCCCTCCAGGTACAGCCATGGCTCACACGCGGGGAACGCCCCGGCCCAGAGACTCCCAGCTCCGGGCTAGAAACTCCCCTTTACAGAGCCTGGAGGCCCGTGATCGCCGGGTGGGAGAAACGAAAGCGGTCCGTCTGTGAGTAAGAGGGTGGGTGATGTAACCCCCCCAGGAGGGTGAGGCGCCCAGAATACGCACCATGGAAGACCCCGGGCACCCTAAGGGCACGCCCCACGCGGAAGTCTGGGCTGGCTCACCCCAGATTCACCACCCAGCCCGGCTGGCCACCTTCCTGTCGGATTCACTTCCCAAGGGAGCGGTGAAGGGTGGGTGACCTCGGGGAATTTACACAACCTCTCCACGCCTTCTTCGTTCATATTACACACATTTGTTGAGTGTTTATTTTGGGCCAGGCCTTGAGCTGAGCTCAGAGGATACACTGTTTACAAAGCAGACATGGAAATTACAGTGAACTCATCTGTAAAATGGGCGGAGGGATGGACTACGCGCCTCCATTCCATGGAGAATTTCATGCAGCATAACACAGGCTTTAGCGATTCGCATCAAGTACATACAGCCTGTGACAACGTAAATACGAATTTAAAATGTGGTGAAATTTAGAATTGGAATCCTTATTTTTGCTTGTACATCATCATATTTAGTCATTGTAGTTTTGAAAGTATTTTACAAGGTCATTTGAACACTTGTCAGCACATAATGAAAATCTTAAAATGTGGTGAAATTTAGAATTGGAATCCTTATTTTTGCCTGTACATCATCATATTTAGTCATTGTTGTAGTTTTGAAAGTATTTTACAACGTCATTTTAACACTTGTCAGCACATAATGAAAATCTTAGAACTGAATTTCCTAATTTGGTGGAAAATTCTCAACTCTGGGAATGGGGTCAATTGTCATCTGGTCCCACAACTGTCATCTGGTCCCAGTCTCTACATGCCCAACACCGACGTAACAAATACGCTCTTATCTTGAGCATAAAGAGTCTAAAGGTTTAGTTTCTGGAGACTGCTCATGGCTGAATATCCCATGGACTGTCTTCAAGATCTTATGCGTGGTCTTGAAGTAGTAATGGCTTTATTTACATCAAATTGGTTTCTCATTTTAGTTGAAAATATCTGGGTATTATATATAATTATATATGTGAAAGAGCACATATTATGAATATACAGCTGATGAATTTTCATATAATGAACAAATTTGTGTATTGTTTTTAAAGTGTTTAATTGAAATATATGTATTCATTATATATTATACTAGAGGCCCAGTGCATGAAATTCGTGCACAGGAGGGAGAGTCCCTCAGCCCGACCTGCACCCTCTTTCAATCTGGGACCCCTTAGGGGATGTCCGGCAGTCAGACATCCCTCTTGCAATCTGGGACTGCTGGCTTCTAACTGCTCGCCTGCCTGCATGATCACCACTAACCACTCATCTGCCTGCCTGGATCACCCCTAACCACTCTGCCTGCCTGCCTCATCGCCCCCAACCACTTGCCTGCCTGCCTGTCTCATCGCCCCTAATCACCTCTACCTCAGCCCCCGCCACCACGGCTTTGTCCAGAAGGTTGTCTGGAATGATGTCTGAAAGGTCGTTTGGCTGTCTGGTCTAATTAACATAATTTGCTTTTATTATTATAGATATTTATTTATGAAAGAGCACAAATCATGAATATACAGCTGATGAATTTTCACAAACTGTGTATTGAGTGTCCAGATCAAGACACAGGACATTACCAGTCCCCAGAAGTCTCCTAGTTCCTCTTCCAGTTACTGCCATCCCCCACCAAGAGTAACCATCATCTGGACTTCTAACTCCCTAGAAGGGTTTTGCCAGTCTTTGTGCCATATATAAATGCAATCGGATGATGTGTACTATTTTGTGTCTGGTTTCTTTTGTTCAACGTTATGTTTTTGAGTTTCATCCATATTGTGTGTTCTTGGATTGTTTTTTTAAACTTACTACCTGTGAAACAGGTACAACCCATCCATTTCCTACGGTCTCAGGTTAGAAGTGGATTAAGAAGTGTATTCTGGACTTCAAAATTTCATATATACATAAACAAGCCATCCGCATCTTTTCTTCCTCTTAAAAAACAAGTACAACCAACACTTTGAGTCAGTTATTTAATTAATCTACACATATAAATCAAACAATGAATTAGCTTATTTGTTCATTCAGCCATTATGTTCCTGTGAAATAGACACCATAATATGCACCGAAAATATTCAGATGAACTAGCACAGAGTTTATCTTCAGGTCATAACTCTGATGCTACAGAATTCAGAGGAGGGCCCTCTTCTTTCTGCAGGTGTGCGGAGTGGTGAGGAGTATGACAAAAGACTTCAAAAAGGAGGTGATTAAAAAAATAAACCTTATTTATTTATTTATTTAGAGGAGGGGAGAGGGATAGAGAAATAGAAACATCGATGGAAGAGGAACATGATTGATTGGCTGCCTCCTGCCCACACCTCTACTGGGGATTGAGCCCACAACCTGGGTATGTGCCCTGACCCAACTTTGAGTCAGTTATTTAATTAATCTACACATATAAATCAAACAATGAATTAGCTTATTTGTTCATTCAGCCATTATGTTCCTGTGAAATAGACACCATAATATGCACCGAAAATATTCAGATGAACTAGCACAGAGTTTATCTTCAGGTCATAACTCTGATGCTACGGAATTCAGAGGAGGGCCCTCTTCTTTCTGCAGGTGTGCGGAGTGGTGAGGAGTATGACAAAAGACTTCAAAAAGGAGGTGATTAAAAAAATAAACCTTATTTATTTATTTATTTAGAGGAGGGGAGAGGGATAGAGAAATAGAAACATCGATGGAAGAGGAACATGACTGATTGGCTGCCTCCTGCACACACCCCTACTGGGGATTGAGCCCACAACCTGGGTATGTGCCCTGACCCAACTCAAACCGGTGACCTCTTGGTTCCTGGGTCGATGCTCAACTGCTGAGCCACACCAGCAGGGCAAGGAGGTGATTTTTGAGATGGAATTTGAAGCGTTGGCGTAGAGCTTGATAGTTGCCTGTAACAACCTGTAGAAAACTGTTAGGTATTTTTTAGTTAGCAGATAGTTATTGCGTCTCAGTTAGCAGAGGTGGAGGATAAAGAGGAGCTATATCTCTTGACCTCAAAGTTTTACATGTGCAAATATTAAAACAATAACTATTATCAGATACCCATATCCTGAAAAACTGACTTGATGGTATCCTCAGAAGATAAGTTAGTCATGTTTGCATTATCATATGGGGTGTGAGTAGACTGGACTGGACAAGAGATATGGCCATGTTCTTTATTCACTGGACAGAAAGGGGAAATAGACAAGTAGAGGGACTGAAAGTCCCAGTTACTTTAACTTGTTAAACACAAGCGACTTCCTTCCTATAACACCTTCCACTTCCACTGGACGCACCCTCAGAATTTAAAAAATTCTACGTTAGAGAGAATGAAAAAGCTTCTGGGAGGAGAAAAGAGGAGGTGTTTTTTTTTTTTTTAATTGATGTTACTATTTGACAAAGCAGCATTATCCGATGTAAGTTTTTAAATTGAGTATTTAGCTTATAAACATACTGAAAGTCTGGCAACTAAGAAATGGCAACACTTGTGTTTATGGAGAACATGTTGCGTTCAGTGCAAAGAAGCAGAATGTGCCTATTATAGCTACACCCTCCTTTCCAGCTGGGTGGATAACAAGCACTTTCTATGCCCAGGCAAGTTCTATAATTTCCTGCTTGCGAGGGTGGAGAGGGTGTGTCCTATGTATCTATCCGCACTAGATGAAGAAGGGAGAGGAAGAGCAAAGAAAAGTAAGAAGGCCTTGCTGGAGGCCATGGTGCTGGAGTCTCCGTTGAGAATGAGCGGAGCAAGAAAAATGGTCCTTCTCTTCCCCCTTTCTCTCTCCTTCCTTTGCATCCAATTCCATCAAAGCGCACAAAGGATTATACCTGATATAGGATATATACACTGACAAGTCTCCCACCTCTCTTGATTATAAAGTTTCCTTTCTTGGTGAAAGCTGTCACCAGTTTCCTCTGGAACCTCCGAGAGGTAGTTTATGCATATAGGCTAATTATGCAGGTGATAGTATTTTATAGATACTGTTTTGCCTTTTGCTTTTCTCATTTTAAAATATCTTGGCAATTGTAGTGGATGTCAGTCATATCTGTGGCTTCCTACTATCCTTGGAAAGTCCCGGTCTGAAATCAGAACTCCAATTCCCAAGATTTCTTATAGCCAGGACACGGGCCTACTTCCTAGACTTTGTCGCTCAGATACACTCAGGCACAGCTTTAATTTGGAAGTGAACAAAATGTGGAGAGAGGATGTACTTGAAGTTTCTATCCAATAATCATAGGCAAGAATCACTGATGAATTTTAAAATTAGTGAGTAAAAATATGATGAGAAAAAGCATATTTGTAGCCTCAAAATATCTCCCTGCAAAGTATTTGTCAATTACACAGGGAAAGATAGTAACATGAGAGTGGAGAAAAATGCAGATATCACCTTAATCAAGTGATCAAAATGAACGTACATCATCTGGAATAATGCATATTGACTTCACACACCTCCTGATATGATGCACTGAGAAGGGCAATAGCATCACTTCCATGTTGTTCTTGCCCAAATTACATAAACCTCAATTTAATCATAATCAAGTATCAGACAAACCTATATTGGAGAACATCCTATATAATAAAAGCCTAATATGCTAAGTGTCTGACTGATCGTTTGACTGTTCAATCAGTCGCTATGATGCACACTGACCACCAGGGGTCAGACACTCTGGTAGGTTAGCTTGCTGCTGGGGTTTGGTCTATCAGGACTGGGCGAGACGAGCCCAACATGCCCTGGAGCCCTACTGTGGTCCCTCCCCAGCCTCTAAAGTATTTCTTCTAATTAATTTCCTTTCAATGTGCACGAATCCGTGCACCGGGCCTCTAGTTCTACAAAATAAATTGCTAATACTCATCTGAAGTGTCAAGGTCATGAGAGACAGAAAAACTGAGGTACTGTCTCAGATCAGAGGAGACTAAAGAGACATGACAACTAAATGCCATGTGAGATCCTGGACTGAATACTGGAACAGAGAAAGGACTTCAGTGGGAAAGCCTGTGAAATTTGAATAAGGCAGTAAATTAGTTAACAGTATTGTATTAACACTAATTTCCTGGTTTCTATCATTGTATTGTGGTTATGTATGATGTTAACAAGAGGAAGCTGGGTGTAGATTTTTTGTGTATGATTTTTGCAATTTTTCTGTAAGTTTAAAATTATTTAAAACAGG